ATCTAAATTTTGATTAGACCTAGGTGAAGTTGAAATTTTTAAATGTACTAGTTCATTTTGAAACTGCTTTTCAAACGAACTAGTTCATATTTAAATTTCGATTTATACTAGTTCAGTTTTAAACTGAACTGGATTTTAATCTGAACTCCGACATATATATATATATAAACCAACACGATGAGTGGAAGAGAAATACACACGAAATATAGCACAAGTAAAAAACTGATAAAAGAGAAAAATTCTTTTAATTCAACATTTAACGTAAGTCTTGGTATAGTCGACAATTATGGCTTCAAAGACGTCACCGCCACCATCACCGTCTAAAATAACTACTCGAACAACACCAACAGTTTCTTCCATTAGTTTCGATCATGTACCAAACGCCAATGACCTACCTAATGACATTTTTTTGTATTCTAACTAGAAATTCTATGATTATATTGAACAATTAGCCGGTGAGCTGGTAAAATTGCTTTGCAAAGTGCAAGGAATTAGATCAATGCATTAGCTGATACAACAACGGATGAAATATTAAATGATGTTTTCTGTTACGAAGAAGATGATAACTACAAAGAAATGAAACTACAATGCTTTTTCAATGATACCAATGTGTATAGAATAAAACTTGGGGTTTCACGGGAAATTGATAGAATCTTATTCTTGTTGACGGGTAATAAACGTAAAATAAAGGTAATTGATTTGACAGCAGCTAAATAATGAATTCCCATTTTAAGGATTTACTTGTCAACGTTTCGACGACTTAGTCGTCATTATCAAGACGTGATTACCGATTAAACTGTAAGATTATTTAATCTATAATCACGTCTTGATAATGACGACTAAGTCGTCGAAACATTGACAAATAAATCCTTAAAATTGGAATTCATTATTTAGCTGCTGTCAAATCAATTACCTTTATGATAGAATCTTAAAATTATTAACAGATAAACGAACGGCAATTGCATCGACCGTTGTCGTATTTATTGTTATTTGAGTTTGTTCGTTTTTTAGTTTCAATGACGTTATTAAATTTTTTATTCGATTTTTTATTCCAATTTTCATCACAAATTTTCCATCAAACCGTGTATAACCAACCTACTCTTCGTTTAAAATCTTTCAATTCTTCAACATTATCATCTAATATAGCTAATGTTTCATCTATTGTGGTAGTAATTAAAACAGCTGTACTTCGAATCGCTTGAAATTTACATATCTCTACTGCTTCTTCACCAGCTGTTTCTCGCGCGCAATCATAAAACTTATCATTTGAAAACGACAAAACGTCATCTGGCAGATCAATGCTAACATTGTAAGAGAACACGCAAACCTACTTTAAAGATACACAGATTAGACGCACTGACAAATGTACACTTTGACAGATTTTCTAGACATTAAAAAAAGCCAAAGCTAAACGTTCTGCTTAAGCAAAAATAATCGTACAACTAATATTTATTTTCGTTGATTGCAACAACTGAAAAAAGAATTCTCAATCAGAATAAAGGTTTACAAATTGTATACATAGCTTTTATTTTTTTAGGGGTGTATGAATCAAAACGCGAGTTAAGTTTGAAGATATAAGATCACAATAATTCCCATGGCAAAACAACGAGGAAAAAGTGAAGGATAACGATTCTTCTGTCATACATCAAAACAAAACATCATAACTACATGTGATAACTAGTGTATGAGCCATATAAATGTTTGTAACTCTTTGTCAACGCTGAATGCTTTCCGAAAAAGTTTTTCAGTTTCATTCCATTCCTGTACATTAATAGAGTAAACGTTTCTGTACAAAATTAGTTCTAACAACCTCCAACGTTGACTTATATGCGTTTTTTCTAAATTATGCATATAAAAAAAGAAAAACAGTCGTACCTCTGTCAAACTAACTTCTGTTCCAGTAACATTTGGTTTTCAAACCGTTTAGTCTCATGACTTTGATTTAACAGACATTCACACAAAGATAAAGAGAGAGCAAACGGTTTTGTTTTCTGTTCATATTAGAAAAAGCATTGTCTGTATATTTTAAATATAAGGTTAATATAACGGCACTCATGAGCGCCTTTTTTCTAATATGAATATACGTTCTTTATCTCTTATATGAATTCAAATAGTTTATAATATCCGAATATTGTATGCATGTCATATCTTAAAAAGAGAAAGAATAACATCATTCTATTTTATATACCCATTGATACAAACACATTAAAAATTAATCGTCTGTGGGTCGGTAGCGTAAGTAAAGGGGAGATATGCAGTATGCTGAAGAATATTCTTCTGTGCCTTGTTTTTTTTGAAAAACATACTTAAAATTTTCTGCATTAACCACTAGATTTGGTATCCAATACAGAAACTTCTTTCAGCATTCCTTTTACTTTCTTAGGCCTTTTCATTCTGAACATCTTTCTCTCCAAAGTGCTACCATTATCAAATACTGTGAATTTTTGGGAGAAAGTTTGGCTGGTTTAATAGCCAGTTTATCAAAATAGTTGCAGTTTTTGACTTTGAAAGTGAGAGAAAAGTAACTTTTAAACATGAATACTTGACGATTTAAGCTCACGATTCTCAGACTATTTAGATTAAAAGAAGTATTTTCTGCCTTGTCGTCTTTTCTTTTATTTGTTTATTACTTGAATTTTTGGTAAATGGCAACAAGTAAAGTTCAAGAAGCATACTAATAAGTTTAAACGAATTATCATTTTACTTTAACAAGTGATGGAAACAAACACAGTAATGGTTGCTGATACACCAACAGAAACAACTACAGCAAATGAAAATCAAAATATAACGAATACGAGTGGTGGTGATTCACAAGGTAAGTCATTCATCTGTCTTTTTTGTTTTCTTTTCACGTGTGTTTAGCCTTTTTCTTCAGCGGTGATAGTGATGCCTTCACATAGGTTTTGTCGGCATCTGCACCCTGACCAATGACCACATCAACTATGATGAATGATCAAGGAAGGGGCAAGTTTGTGATATTTGTTCGTCTCTTATAACTTTGATTTGTTATTTTGCTTTTATCTCGTTTTAGAAGGCACAAGAATAAGAACAGATGGTGTCCGTCAACAACAAGCAGTTCAACATCAGAACGGTTTGAACAGACAACATAATAGACGAAGTGGCAATGGCTCTGGTAGACGCGTTCGAGGTCGAAGTCGTTAACAACGACAATGTATTTATCGTGGTTCGCATATGGTCGGAATGACCTCGTGAGAAAGGTAAAAGTAAAGGTTTAAAGTATAAAAATCAGATTGCCTATATAAAAGAAGGGTTATCCCAAAGTTTTGGTTAACTCCTGATGCAATGTAAGCGAAAAGTAATTATAAGTTACGCCACTATGGTGGCGCCACCTGTAATTATCCCAAAATTGATATTTACAGGGACAGAGGCGGCGGAGCCTTAGGGGAACAAGGTGAAGCTCCGTATTTTTTTCTTCTCTCGTCGAACTTTTATCAAAGTGTCAAGGGCAATATAAGCTTTCTTTTTATTCAATTCAACGATGAATTTGATCAGATTAGATATATTGCTAGAATAAATGGCTACCCATTGTCATTTGCCAACATACGAATTAAAATAGGGCTTACAAAATGGTTTCAAAAAGAAAAGCGTGAAAAGAAAGGCATAAATGCATCTATGATCGGGCCTGAAAAAAGACGGATGTACAGGGAAATCCCATATGCTGAAAACTCTACACAAATTTTGAAAAAGATGCTGACGCAGTTTTCGGGGAAAGTTCAACCAGATATCGATTTTCGATTTGTTTCAAAGCCTCCACCGACTATACAAACTTTCTTTCAAACAAAAGATAAAATTCCAAAGTATCTCCAGTCAGATATAGTCTATCTGATCAGATGTAGTAATTGTAACATTGCAGTTGTAACACCGTACTCTACAAATCCAAGACGATCATCTAGAATACAAGGTCGGCAGTCGCTATTAACTTTTTAAATAAAATTTGTCTCAACAACTTACTAATCAGGCTTCTAAGAAAATGTATAATTCATATGATAGATCAGATAATGAACGAAGAAAACATAAATCCTCACTAGGACAACATGAGAAGGATAAAGACCATACAATAGACTGTCTGAATTTCGACATCATCTGCACTGATAATAATTCGTATCGCTTATTGATCAAAGAAAGTTTAGTTATCAAATCGCTTGAACCCACCTTGAACTATATAACGCATTCGGTGCCTATGATAATATTTCCAGAAGGATTAACAAATCGTTGTTTTCTTATAGATCGGTATTACTAACTGAACTATGACTTGTACTGTGATGGACGTGAAAAAGTAAAGAAATGTAAAGAAAAAAACGAAAGGAAAAGAAAATTGGTCTTTACTGTATATATGATTGGTCTGGCTCTATAATTGATTGAAAAACCAAAATGTGACAGTTTCATAGATAATTTGTCGCTCTACAAAAACCAAAAAAGAATTGAATTGTTTACGCATTTAGGTGAGCCAGAAAAGTTGATTTTATTTTGAATGAGGGACTTTTTCACACTAACGAGGGAACCTCGCGATGTGAGACTTCGCTTTTTGATGGAAATCTGGTGGGTTATAGATTATCGATCACGCTGACGCCGAATATGAACATGGAGGTTGCCCAATGCCCTTCAAAGATCCAGTCTTCTGGAAAACCAGTTTTCAGAAACTCTAGAAAATAACCTATACCTTTCTTCACAACACATAATTGTAGCCCGCAAATTTCTGGTTAAAACGAGACATCCCCAGCTCTACACGATTTTTCTTTGCAAAGTTATAGAATTTATAAGACGAGCCCTTAATTGTTTATTGTTAGTTCAAAGCTTAGGGCTCTTCTTATAAATTCTATAACTTTGCAAAGAAAAATCGTTTAGAGCTGGGGATGTCTCGTTTTAACCAGAAATTTGCGGGCTACAATTATGTGTTGTGAAGAAAGGTATAGGTTATTTTCTCGAGTTTCTGAAAACTGGTTTTCCAGAAGATCGGATCTTTGAAGGGCATTGGGCAACCTCCATGTTCATATTCGGCGTCAGCGTGATCGATAATCTATAACCCACTAGATTTCCATTAAAAAGCGAAGTCTCACATCGCGTGGTTCCCTCGTAAGTGTAGACGGACTTTTTCCAAATTGTTTTATCAAAATGTCAAGAACGACGCGCTCGTCCTCCGCGTGACTTTCACACAGGATAGAGCATAAAAAGTTCTACTAGGGTGAATTATTTCACCCAACTTTTTTTCACTTATTCCACTTGAATTTTGCGTAATATAAAAAAATGCAGACGAACTCTTTTTTCGAAAAAAGTGTAGACGAACCTTCATTCATGAACGTAACGGTCTAACTTCGATCAGATTAAGTGACAACATATGTACTTAGATGCCTGACGATACGGTAAAATTGATTTCGAGCATTTCGCATCAACTGGTTAATACTACACGGGCAAAACTCCCAAATTTGAGATAACAGGTGCGGAACATCGCTGGTGTTGTCTATCTTTGCACTTCGATAAGGCTTTTCTTCGTTTCTTTTACTTGTGTAGCTCAGTTTTAGATTGAAAGTGATCAAGAAAAGAAAAGTTTTAGATAAACGACGTTTATACGATCAAAGAATCAAGGTGAAACGAGTTTTACGGGTAAATAGTAAATCAGTAGAACTGCCGTTAAGGAAAATCCAAGGGGGAAAAGGCAGCTCCGGGATCCGTGCGGATCCATGCGGATCTACGTGGATCCATGCGGATCTGCGCGGATCCATGCGGATCTGCGCGGATCCATGCGGATCTGCGCGGATCCATGCGGATCTGCGCGGATCCATGCGGATCTGCGCGGATCCATGCCAATACAATTTTATTGAACTGAACTGTCCCACAAATCTCTGTTCCCACAAGCAAAACAAAAATGTTCTGTCTGTGGGAAAAGAAGTCACAGAACAGAACACAATTGTCCCGTTATCCNGGATCCATGCGGATCTGCGCGGATCCATGCGGATCTGCGCGGATCCATGCGGATCTGCGCGGATCCATGCGGATCTGCGCGGATCCATGCGGATCTGCGCGGATCCATGCCAATACAATTTTATTGAACTGAACTGTCCCACAAATCTCTGTTCCCACAAGCAAAACAAAAATGTTCTGTCTGTGGGAAAAGAAGTCACAGAACAGAACACAATTGTCCCGTTATCCAGGAAATTTTCCCAATAAAAGAACCGGAGTGTTCTGTTTCGGGAGCACGATTGTCCTGTTTTGCGACTTGGACTGTTCTGTTTTGGGAACCGGATTGTTCTGTTTTGGGAACAGGATTGTTCTGTTTTAGCGGAAGAATATTGAGACGGATTCGTGGGAATCTTTGCGGATCCACGGGGATCCATGCGGATCTTTTTGAATCCATGCGGAAACCCGGATCCGCGGATCCGCTTTTTCCCCCTTGGGAAAATCTCTTGTACTCGAACTTCAACCAAATTCAGCGAAATTTCTAGCCCAGAAAATTTGCTAAAACGGAAGCGCTGATAGTAGGCATAGATAGAGCTCATCGAAAGCTATCGATTGGTGAATAATTTATGCATTTTGTCATGCGTATAAGATCAGTTATTGCGAAACCCCTTGCCTATGGGAAAAAAACGAACTTCGAGAAGAGTTTTCTTAGGTGTTATAACTCCAGTAGTAGGGAAACTACAGCTGTAGGCTCAGAAAATTATGGCGAACAAGATGTGCTTTAGCGTCACTTTCATTTTTTTCAACAATTGTACACAAATTTTGCAATCAGCTCATATACAGCCTAATCCATTCAGTTTTTATAAAGTTTGTATTTGTGGGGACAACCTTGAAAATGGTTTTCTAATAAAATCGAGACATCGGAAAGGGTTACATACAAGGATGGCGCATTGTCTTGCCTCGCTCTTTTTTTTATTAACAAAAGAAAAGTTTTTCTTTTTCTTTGCAGCAAAAAGAGTAAAGATATAATGCATATCTTTTCTTTAGAAAAAAAAGATATGGATTGTATATCTACTCTTTACTTTTGAAATAAAAGATACCACTTTACTCTTACGAAATTGGCACCCCTAGTTACATAATGATTAAATCAGCTGCTATTATGCTGCTATCTTCATCTAAATCCAACTGTGAGGCCACCATCACGAACTTTTATCTGAAAGTGCACATTTTCTGTCTCTTCACTGACAGGTCCTGAAAATTACAAATTTTGACAGAGTATTCAGTCCAAAAACTTTACTTTTACCCTTCTCACGAGGTCATTTTTGGCCATATGCGAACCATGATAAATACGTTGTCGTTGTTAACGACTTCTGCCTCGATCATGGCTACCACTACCAGAGCCGTTGCCACGTCGTCTATCATGTTGTCTGTTCAAACCGTTCTGATGTTGAACTACTTATTGTTGACGGACACCATCTCTTCTTGTTCTTGTGCCTTCGAAAACATACCATGATTATTCTTGACAGGTTTAGCAGCTTTTTTTGTCATTTTGTAGAAAATAATTTACACGTTAAGAGTGATAAGAACAATACAAAGGTCTGTTCCTTATCAATCGAATATTTTAGTTCACACAACGACCAACGATAATCCAGTTATCACACAAAATTGTCATCTTAGTCTTCACCAGCAATTTGTGGTAGGTTAATATAGTTTCAAACATTCTATTAGAGTTCCTTGGAAAATAAGTTTTTCATTCTAGCAGTGAATAACAAGAGCTGTGAGCCATCCACTGTTCCTAAAAAGGTAAAAGTATTTATCTCAAATCTTCTCAATGCCGGAGAATTCTCCTAAAATTTATTCTCGACACATAGATCATGGCATGATCTATGTTTCGAGAATAAATTTTAGGATTGAAATGACCATGATTGAAATGACCGTGATCATCATGGTCATTTCAATCACTTTTCTGAAGCTCGCTGGACCAGATTTTTGACCTCCAGCATCACACGGATGTACAAGTTGATTTTTATACATTTCTGACTAAACGAGTAAAATATCAGTCACACAGTGGGCATTTTTCTATAGAGCAGGCGGACATATGCTGCAGAAGTGATATGAAAGCCTATAAACACGTTTTTCTATAGGTTTTCGAATATGCTCTTTCTAATGATGAGATTTTCAGAACCCAAAACTAATTCCTTGTGGGTTTTCTGGAGACCGAATCTCTGGAAAACGCATAAAAGGTA